TTCATAATCCAAGCCGGACCAGTCTGTCCCCATATACAGAAATCGGACCAGCCCGCTCACGGTTATCCCTGTCGGACGAAACAGACCCAGGTCCACCTCTATCCTGGATACCAAACATACGTCCGCGCCCCGACAGCACTATTTGTGAAAGGATTTTTTTTTTTAACGAGTTCATCCCGGACCGATAGAGTTTGGAGCACTGACCACGGACCGGTAGAGTTTGGTGGACTCACCAAGGACCGGCAGAGTGTGGTGCACTTCCCCCGGACCGGTAGAGTTTGGTCCCGGATTTATATTATCGGGTACACTCATCCAGGGCCGGTAGAGTTTGGTACACTCACCCAGGACCGAAAGAGTTTAGTAGACTCACCCCGGAGCGGTAGAGTTTGGCGATCTCTTCCAGCAGCCACATCTCGACGTGCAGCCGTTTTCGGATGAGCGCCATCTGGTGGCTGCCATATTTGGCCGTCAGGTACTTTTTCCGGCCATCGGCCTGGTCCTCGCCCTGCTCAAAGTTGACGCTCTGCAGCGGCAAGAGGGACGGGAGGGGGAGGGGCAGGGTGTTGTCCTCAGCTGGCGCCAACAAAAACAAACGGCGAGCAGCGAGGCGACGGCCGACTGGCGGCTCGCCGCCCGCACCGCGCAGAACAAAGGCGAGATGGAGACAACAGAGAGCAGTGTGGCAAAATACACCCCTCATCACACCATAGAAAAAGGAACGCCATTATCGAAAGATGTAGCTACAGTGAACAGTAAAGTACACATGACTGTAACAGATAACCGCAACTTCACGTCAGCTGCGCAAAAAAGTGCCACACAAGCTGCAAGCACGTTTACCTTGGGCGACTTTCCGTCCTTGTCCATGACTGTGCCATTTCCCGTATCATACTCGGCGGTCCTGCCCACTTCCATCACAGGCGCCTGCGAACATTACAGGAGTGATAGTGGCTGCCCGCTATGGCTAAACACATAGCACATCCAACTTGTAGACACTGTTGTGACAGTTACTTTCGGCAATGACATCGATGGGGTGCGTCTGTTGACAGTCACGACAGATACTGTCAGCGCGGAGAAGTTCATCCCGAGCGCCTGTGGAAGGGTGTGACAGTAGCTGTCAGTCGGTGACGTCTCACACGGGTGTCTCTGTGTGGCTGCAACAGATAATGTCAGCGACTATGTATAGCAGTCACTTGATAAAGCTGCGCCAAGTTTGCCCCATACAAAGGTAATGTGTAAGGAAAATAGCAAATATAACGACGGCCCTCGCTAAAAAAAAAAAAAAATGTTCCACCAAAACCAGGGCAACAGATAACAAGCTGAAGCAACAATCTGCAGGGTGAGTAAAAAGCACACGGCGGCGAACGCAACGCGGTAATCGTAAGCCGTGTGTATCAAGTCTGAACCGAAATTTACGCTATAATGCGCACTGGCACATTTAAATTCAACGTCATCTTCAGAGCACCGCTCATCAACGAGAAAAGATTCGCCCGACGGCCGACAGGCAATGAATATGAAATTTTTAATCATATCGCCCAATGAATAATTTGATTCAAACTGCGGTTACGCAGGTCGACAAACAATGTAACGAAGGTATTACGAACTGCATTCATATCGCCTACATAAAACATTCAACTTGCGTAAAAATGGATCGACAGGCACTTCAATACGAAGCTTGTTTCCTGCAGAAACAAATATGACGTCAAACCATTTACGGTGTCGTCATGTGATGTAAATAGTCACAAAATGCGTGCAAGAAGCAGATTCTGATCCCTAACTGCATGAAAAGCTTACAACCAGCGGCGATTGGCGGCTCAAACAGGTTCTTTATAACGTGACGTGCGAGCGTTCTGCAGCTGATCTGCCGATCCGCGTCCCGACATGCAGGATCGGCGACTCTGCCGAGCGACTACCATGGAGGAAAAGTCCGCCACTTTCCTGGGTGAGTCATGTACCACGACCAGGGCCGTCCAGGGCCTGCACCGAGCGGCCGGCCGCTGCCACCGCGGGAAAGGCGGCACCGGACCCGTCACTGGAGCCGCAGACATGCCAGGACTCATGGAACCAAATGGCAGTCACTGGCCGGCTGACAACAAATAGCTAGGCTGATAGTGATGACAATCTTTGGAATGGGAATATTTTACAAGAAATAAGCTATCTACGTACAATCTGCTAATCAAAGACACTATTATTTTATAGCAGCTTGGCCCATCCTGCTCCCCCCACACAAAGTTAACATGTCTCAGTCTGAAATTGTGGCTTCAAAATGCCACAGCCAAGGAAAAAAAATATCACTTGAATTCTCTGAACTGCAAAACAATGCAACTACAGTCACAATGGCTCATGGATGAGCTGATTAGGCATAAGTGCAAAGCTAACACAATAATGGATAGAATCCAGGAACAAGAAACTTTTTCTAGGAAAAGTGCTAATTAAAAATGACTTGGCTATGATACATTTGCTTTCCATGGGAGACATAATAAAGTTGAACTCTGACAATGATGCACACTGTAAGGATAAAGTGCAATGTACAAGTGAAACAACCTTAGATAGAACAAATACTCATCTCACTGAACAGGAGACACAATTCAGCAAACTATTGTATTTATATCTATATGTCCTGAGGTACTAATGATGGAATGGGACAAAAAGTTGGCACAAAACTGCTGAGGATAATTGCTCAAAAGTTGCTTGACACAAATAAAAACATGATACTCATCATTGTTGTCCCTCAAAGAAAAGTTAACAATGGCAAAGCTCATTCAAAAAATGGATTTCTTGCCCCATATTTAGAAAATTCTTGAATACCTACTGCATTTTACAACAAAAGTCTGTGATGGGACTTGACTGTGTAGCAACATTGGGAATTTGTTAAGTTCATGCACTGCTTGAATTATGTTAATGTGCATTTTGCTCCCATATCTTAGTGAGCCAAATAAATAGACACATTTACAACTGACTATCAGTGTAATTTTCTTATGCATTACCATGAATAATTTCAGCTGGTAAATAATATTTCCTCATATACTTAGCCTTAGCCTGACCCTTGATAGTAGTTTAAATGTCACAAATGACAAAATTTAGCAAAATTACCTGAAGAGCATTTGGAGAAGCAAAAAATAATCACCATTTTGTTGCAAAATTAGGTAGGTACCTCAAGCTGACGGGTCAATCCTCGAGAAGGATCTGTTGAAACCTGTAAGAATAATTCAGATCAAATGGATACAAGCAAGAGCTTAGGCATAAAACAATGCAATGCTGATATGTATATTCTAGTGCTTTAATTATATCACTTATAAGTATAAGGCTATGAAACTGGGACAAGAAAAAGATACATAAAAGCACAAAGCACGGGACAATCATGGCGCACGATAACAGGCAATCAACTCAGCCTGCAGCCTAAAAATATTAAAGAAAACTTGATGAGAAGTTGCTACAGACCTTATAAGCAAAGTTCCCTTATCTTGCATTAAAAAGTATAACGTATTAAACTCGCGAACTCGATAAAACCCCGTCCCACACTCCTCCCACCAACAGTCAAATTTCAGCAACAGCAACAAAGACGTCAGGCCCAGCATCAACTTTTTGTTGTATTTGTGCCAGCTTACCCTTCTGACGTCATTGAATAAAATATCATTTTTCAAATTTTTATTCTTTATAAGATGTATTTGCTTTATTTTTTACTCGATTTTGTTTCTAAATTGTTATGCATAAAAAATAGGTTTTTTTCTAAAATAGGTACATCAAATACTTCATCTATTTTCGCTTATTGCCAAATCACTTGTCAAAAGATTAATGACGACATATGCTTCCGAATAACATTCATTGTTTGTAGTCGTTTGTAGTAAGCCGAGGGCTGTTCACGGGCCCTGTGTGCGGTAGGACCGCACACAGCCTCCAAGCTCCGCCCACTGCGTCCCTACGTCAGCCTTCCGTCACCGCACACAGCGATCGCTGTGGCCGGTCGGGACTGGCCACAGCGGACCGTCCACCGCACGCAGCCGTGACGTCAGAGCCGCCTACCCATCCCCTACCCCCACGCCTGCTGGACGCACCGCACACACCGCACGCAGCAGTGTGCGGTGCCCGTGAACACCCCTCCGGCTTTTATGTTCGTGCGCGTCGTGGTTGTGGTGGGGTGTGTATGTATGTATTGAACGGGGAATAATAATTATAAGGATACTGGTTATTATTGTTGATTTCGCTTTAATTTTACTGGGTCTGAATACTCTGACTTAAGATATATTTTCATAGTTTTTTTTTGGTTTTGTAGGGCAATCGTGGTTGGTGAGGCATGTATAATACCTATAATACCTACCTACCTACCTGGTTCATAAAATTTATTTCAATGCCTACTTTTTGGTTGGAATTAAATAACACTACATAACTGCTTCTCATAACATTTCAATTTTTATAAATGGTACAAGAAGAAAAATTGTGCTAATAATTCAGCTGTTCCATCACCGACTCTCCGAGGGATCGTCTCAATCTGTTTCAGTTTAAAGGGACCCTCCCACCTTCAAAAAAGTTAATGAATTGGCATGAAAGTGATGTCGCTCGGTTCAGAAAGAGCAAAAACGAATATCTACCAAATTTCATCGAAAAATATTCACCGGTTTTCAAGATATTAGACTTTTACTTTTGTTTACTTTTTGGGATCTCCGCTGTTCCTAGTGACTTTATTTGAAAGTGCGGCATTTGTTGCGCGCAAAGCAGCATATACCACCGCGTGCTACAAAACGTTTTAGTCAAACATTTAACGGGCGTTCGAAAGCCTGATGACGTCATCAGATTCCCGTAATGGTTAAGAGATAGGGACCACGCTGGTCCCACCCTGCAAGTAAAGGGAAGAAATTTCTTGAACACCATAAAGCTGCGGGGGTTGCGACCAGGATAAATGGTGGTTTCTGAGCCTGGCCGCAAACTTGGCTATCACAACTCAAAACTAATGTTAAGGTGGGAGGGTCCCTTTAACGTGATGCCTTGCTTACCCTTTAGCTGCACTTGACTTAATGTTAAGCCCAATAGAAACACCTGTACAGTTTCAACAGGTGTACAGGTTTTGTATAGGTGAGTTGAACAGGTGAGTTGGTTGTTGTTTTTGTTAGAAGGCTGCAAGCTTACTGGCGTTAGCTTCTCATTGGGTCTGTTCCCGTCGCTCCTCCCAAAAAATCTCGGATGAGGTTGGATGAGCTTGGAGGAGAGCCGTTTCAGAGGAGCCACGGGAACATTTTCGCGAGGAAATCAGCTGTTTGCGGGCTGTAACGGTCGGCGATTTATGGCGCGCAAACATAAATTAAGATATTATAATCGCTTTCTAATAAAATAACCTTAGATTAATATCAATCTCATTTATAAACAATTCAAATTTGTATTACGTGCGCCAAATATGTCTACGCAAGAGCCTCCTCCAAAAAACCAACTTTCGTTTGGGATGAGGGAGGAGGCAAATAGTGGTGGTGAGATGTGAAATCAAGATGAGCTTGGAGGAGCTTGGAGGAGCGACGGGAACGATTTTTTGAAACGAGAGGAGGTTAGAGGAGCTTGGAGGAGGTTAGAGGAGCGACGGGAACAAACCCATTGGCCAAATTCTGGTGGTCCAAGTGGCTTACCAATCTCAATGAGAGGCTGAGAAATTGAAATGCCAGCAAAGGACTTCTCTGATTGAAAAACTGGCAGCATGCTGTTCAAAAAAGAAGACTGAGTCCAAACAGCAAACAGTGCTACCTACCATTACCATTGACTTAGGAGGCTAGCCAGATTTTCTGCAAGTAAGCATTGATAAGGCAGCTTGGAGTGGAATAGTGTAATGTCTCATTGAAGCATGTAACTTGTAAGTGATAGTTTGTTAATTTGAATTTTGAGCATTTTTGGCAGCATCAGGTAAATTAAAATGGAGATACCTTACCTTACCTTAATGGTTCCTTACCTTACCTTAATGGAGATACCTTACCTTACCAGGAGATGGTTAACTCTTAAGTCAACTTAACATACTCACACGTGGGGGTCAAGCTGAAGCAGTGAATGAAGTCCTACTTGCCCTGAAACTAAGTCTCAAGTCAAGGACTTCAATACAAAAAATACAAGAACTTATTTAAATGGCTTGCTGGAAGCTGATTAATGATACATTTGTACCTGGTTCTCCCTCCTGATTTTGCCTCATCCTCTATAGTCATTTTTGTGTGCAAAGTTTTAACTTTTATCTAATAATTATGATAATTGCATTGCCTGATTGTGGTGCTAGTGTTGTCCAAATACATTGGCCATGCTCTTCATATTCCAAATACTAATTTATTGATCAAACTTGGAAGTGAGAAGCTGGGGTCAACACTGGTGCGTTCGGCTACGAGCCGGCCGGAGACGTCGGTGGCGGCCATAATAGTGGCGGCCGACATACCTACGTCAAAGCCGGCCGGAGACGTCAAAGTCGGCCCAGAGCCTGCCGAAACCGTCACGGAGCCGGCCGGAGCCATCAGTGATCAGGGCCTTTTACTCGAATTAGATGAAGGTGAAACACTAATCCAGCGCGGGGATGTCTAAAATTTTCACGGCTCCGCATCCTTACTGTAGACGTTTTGATGTGCCGCTCGATCATATCGAACATTCGCGATCAATCTGGATTGTCATGGTGATAACCGTTTCGGTGCTGGTGCCTTTGATTCGTTCACGACTCTCGCTCGCCAGTGAGCGGTCTATTTTGGACAGTGGCCTGCAATTTGAGCCTTTTCCTATCTTTACATGTTGACGGTGCTATTTGAAAATCTCCTGGTTATCTCGATTCCTGCATAGTGACACTAGATTCCTGCAAAGTGACACTAAAGCTGACACTGAATCCTTTTCAGACACAACTGGGCAGCATGGTGACCTTTGAGTCAGGCGACATCACAGAGGAGGAGGCTGCCCTCTATGACCGGCAGATCCGACTCTGGGGACTGGATGCCCAAAAACGGTGAGGCAATCTGTACCTGCAGTGCATCACAGAATCTGAGTGTGGGTGTTCATGTGCATCCATGTTTCATACACACTGTCTTAGTATTATACTGCATCAGGTATCAAATCGCAATGTTTTTCTCCGTTTGCAATTCTTCCTTTGCCGGTATGAATTTAAACGACAGTACATTTCAGTACATCCCTTCCCTAGGTCTAGTGTCACACCGAGCCGAAATTTGTTATGCATCTTCAGTCACGCACTATACAGGGTGATTTTTTTTAACTGTTAAAAAGTAAACGCCAATGGTGGTCCCTAAATCGAAAAATCGTGTGCAAAAAAGTAATGCACGTGATAGATAAATCTGGGACATTTTGTATGATGTCATGACTAGGGTTACCCGCGTGCTCCGCAACGCGAAGGGGGGATTTTTTGACCCGTGGGTATTGGGTTGGTCTGTGTCGATTTGGTTGGTAGATATCCATTTCGTTCGATTGCTTTTTGACGGCCAAGCATTTTGTAAGAAAACAAAAAGATACATCGCATCGAGGTGCCCGTGTCGTATTGTCATGCGTTCTACTTTAGAATGATTCGAAAACTGGCGTGAAGTCTTTTGAGGGCCATCGATGAATTTCGCTAAAAATGACAATGTAATGGTTTAGAACATTTACATTTTTAAGAATACTGTTGCCCGTCATGCAAAAATGAAGAGTGAATATTGGACAGAATTGAATGCTCTTTCCAACGGTGCTATTTTTAATTGCCAGAGATATCAGATCATGGAGCAAAACCCGTGTGATTTATAAAGTGACACAAAATTGACAAACACCATTTTCTCCCGCGATTTGTACCACCTTGATTTGGATCAATCAGCTTTTCACAATTTTTATATCAGAGGCGGTACATTTCTCTTGCCAACAGGCGTTGTTCCAACTCGCTCCGTTTAACGGTCACCTAAAAATAAAATCAATTCCAAAATCCGTCCAAAACGTCAATTTTTCAAATAAAAGTGCCCTCTCCGGTGCACGTGGCGCGTGCTATCCTCTGCATTGCACACCATTCAATAGCCCGTTCAATTCTGTACACGATGCTGTTTTCCCCGTGCCGGTCGGACCCCTGGTCACCAAGATATTGCACGGGAACTGGACCCGTGTCGGCCAAAATTAGCCGTTTTCGCCCGATTTCGCACGCCGATTTATACATGTAAAGTCTATGACGCGAATTTGCACTTTTTGAGCACGCGCCACGCGCTCCCTATCAATCCGATCGAGCTGAGACCCCTCAAAGGCACGTCGCGCATCCTTGATCTGTAAGTTGTGCAAATTTCACCGCGCTAGGTGCAACGGTCTGGCCTGTAGTCCACGCAAAGCACGACCAAGTCGGGACCTCGGTAACGGACAGACGCACCCTCCTCAAATAGTAATATAGACAAGCGGCTGCGCCACTTGCTTTGCTGCGTGGTAGGAAAAATTGCGGCACCAGCCAATTTGCTTTCGAATGGTGTTCGTTTCAAGTCGATGTGTCGTCTAAAAGCATAGATATGGACGGAAATGTGAACGGAATTAAAAAAAAAGAACTGTTCTGAGGGCTTTGTTGGATGAAATTTGGCTGATATGGGGTCAAGACGGGTCAAAGGGGTCAGCCCCGGTCAATTTGGGTCAGGCAAGGTCACAAAGGTCACCTCTCGTCCGATGGAATCAGCCCGGGCCACTGTTCTACTTTTGCCTCCACCACTACCCCTATCCCTACCCCTATCCCTACCACTACCCCTACCACTACCCCTACCACTACCCCTACCCCTACCCCTACCACTACATCTACCTCTACCCCTACCACTACTACTACCCATACTCCTACCCCTACCACTACCCCTACCACTACCCCTACCACTACCCCTACTACTACCCCTACTACTACCCCTACTACTACCCCTACCACTACTACTACTACCCCTACTACTACCCCTACCACTACCACTACCCCTACCACTACCACTACCCCTACCACTACCCCTACCCCTACCCCTACTACTACCCCTACCACCACCACTACCCCTACCCCTACCCCTACCACTACCACTACCCTACCTCTACCACTACCCCTACCACTACCCCTACCCCTACCCCTACCCCTACCCCTACCAACACCGCTGGGTCATGTCAGGTCACAGAATAATTGGATCCAATCAGTACTAAAATATTAGACTTAAAGTGTTCCCAGCCCTGTTCCTATTCGTGCAATTCCATTACCCTTAATCGAATTTGTCGGAAATGGCGCTTTGTGGCAAACGTGGCGCATTGCGGCAAACGCGGCGCATCTGAACCTGTTGGTTGAGCATGCATCCTGGCACCAAATTGTACCCACATCGGACCATATTTGACAAAACTGTGCGATTTGCGGCAAAAATGACGCCCTCAGATAATTGTGACGCATTGCGGCAAACGCGGTGCATTTGTAAACTCGTATCACAAATTGTTCCCATTGAACGAAAATCAACACATTCTCTCGCCACTTTTTATTCAAATTAAAACTTGCCCCTCCGCCAATGCGAGGCACCCGCCACCGATCGGCATGCATTTAGTCCACAAAGTTTGTCGACCCCGGCTCTCAATGAAGATATACGAACCGATGAAAATTTCATTGGCGTTCTTCCAGCGCGCCCCACGCGCGAACCGTGCACCCCAGCGAGTCGGAACCTAGAAATGGCGCTGACCCGTTCTGTCACCTAGAAGGTGTGCAAATTTCAACTTCCTACGACTTACCGTCTGCCCTGTAGGCGAGGTTAATTGAACCCACTACACGATGTGCGGACACACAGACTCACAGACTCACAGACGGATTCTGTTTGAATAGTAAGATAGATTTGTCCCTTTTAACCGAAGGCCTCGGCCCCAATGGAGCCTGAAAATGTCCCACCAATCGGGCACGCATGGTCCACCGCCGTTCAGTAAGGAACGACACAAAACGATGATTTTGAAGCATTGAGGCAGTTCGAAGCATACGATCATCGAGGAGTTACCCCAGAAAGACGTTAAATAATGCACGAACAAGCCTGTAGTCATAAATAACCTTCAAACGGTCCATCTGGCGTATGTGCAGTCTCTGAAGAATCATTCTTCGGGGAGAAACAAAAACAGCGAATCAGACACCACCAGGGCCGCCAGTACCAAAATCCTCGACCTGCACTTTCTAGACTTCTAGTTTTTAGATCCAGGTATGGCAGATATAACAAGAAAACAGTGGAAATACCTGGCAGAGCTAAAAATGGGTGATAGGAGTCTTTTCAGTCCGCCTAAAGGGTCTAGGAGTCCACGGTGCTGTTCAACACGTGCTCAGGCGGGCTGATTCGTGTCGGTGAAAGAGGGGGTAGCTTCAAGCACAAGTAAAATACACGATGGACGTTCCTTCACATCGTGTCTGCATGAAATCACATGTCCCAGAATGCTCGTCATGCTGCCTGCTGGTATATAATTTTGCAATATATATTTGCATTTTAACGCTACTAAACCTCATTACTTTTTAACAAGTAAAAAAAATCACCCTGTATTTTCAGTGTCTATATACCGCCATCCCATCTGTGGCCCAGCTCTGCCGGCTGACTTCGATCGCCACCGGTCCTTCCCGACTCCCCCTACTCTCGCTGTGACTCTCCCGCCCTCCAACAGGCTGCGGTCCGCGCGCGTCCTGCTGATACACATGGGCGGCCTCGGAGCGGAGGTGGCCAAAAACCTGATCCTGGCCGGCGTCAAGTCGCTCACCATGCTCGACCCGAACCCGGTGACGTCTTCCGAGGCCAGCTGCCAGTTCTTTGTGCCTGCCGGACAGATCGGAGCCAACGTGAGTTGTTCTGTGCCCAGCTGGAGACAGGGATTACTCCCCTTCTAGTGCGCTGCTTTCAAACTTTTTTTGGGGGGGCTGTGTGATGTGGCAAATCACTTAAGTTTTTTTGTGATTTAGTTTTTTTTTTGCAATCGATGTGTCTGTTACGGTACAGGTACATACATGGGTCCTACTTCTTTGACCTGGAATGTTCCCTATAATCATATATGTCCCTCAATGTTATGTCCCACAATGGACTTCCCATAAGCCATTCTGCCCTGCACCCATGCCATGTGTCGACGTCCGTCGTTCCCTCTGCCCATGTAGCTCGTGACTGTTAGCTGACGTAACTCGTGGGCTACCTCTTCCCTGTAACTACGTAACTCGTGAACTGCCGACTCGTGACCTGCCAACTCGTGACCTGGTGACTCGTTCGCTCCGTGACCTGCTCCCTGTGCCCACGTAACTCGTTTGTCCCCCATATGACCGGCAGCGGGCCGAGGTCTCGGTGGAGCGCGCCCAGCGTCTGAACCCGATGGTCTCCGTCACGGCCGAGAAGACTCCCAGCACCGAGCTCACCGAGGAACAGGTGGCGCGGTACGATGTGCTCGTCGCCACCGGCTGCCCCGACTCGGAGCTGACGCGGCTGAACGCGCTCTGCCGGCGACGCGGCGTCCTCTTTCTGGCCGGAGACGTGTACGGCTTCTACGGGTTCATGTTCGCCGACCTGGGGCGCCATGAGTTTGCCGAGTGAGTGCCCTGGGGGTGCGCCTACTCGGACGTTGCTGCCGACGGCGTAGTGCAATGGTTGCAGTTTGACGAATCAGTTACACTGCTGTGCTTTCCTCTAAGTGGAAGGGATTGCGTGGTCGGTGACGACTCTTTTTTCTGTGGATGTGTCGCTTTCCAAGCTACTGAACAGCTGGCACTGTGTTCCCGTTTGCCAGGCTTCTGAAATGTTCCAACCGCCACTTGCAGTGTGCTGCCCCCGTTCCCATCTGCTGCGCTGCTGACTCCCTATTCCCCCTCCCAGAGAGGTGCCCGTGCTGGCCCGGCCGGGTGGCGAGCCAGCGCAGAAGCGACCCCGCACCGAGCAGCCCGAGAGCCGTACGGTGAAACGCACACTGCAGTTCACCCCGCTAGAGGACGCTCTCGGCGTCGACTGGAACGCAGAGGACCGACGCAAAACGCTCAGGAGGACGTCGGACGTCTACTTCATAATGCGTGGTGAGTATGAATACGCAGTTCGCATTCGACGGAATTTTGAGGCTGGAACCGGAATCGCAGCTAACCTCATTTTTTCATCAGTATTTTTTGTTGTTGTAAAACATACCTAATTGGCGATAAAAGTTGTGGTCATTTCGTAGAGGTACAGCAGCCTGATTATTTGTATTGACTCGTTCATTTTTTGCCTTTAAAGAAACATTTTCTTTGCACTCACATTCTGAACGAACTCTGTGTCAAACATGCAGCATTTGATTCCGAAGCAACGTCCGCTTCTAAAGTAGCTAGATATGCATATGAGCGTGCTCACAACACGGGCACATACAGGTCGTCATTGAGTGTATGCAGCTATGCACTCTGCAGATCAGTTCTAGTTGAACCGTGCCAGTCTGCTCGCGGATCAAGGCGCAATGGCATATTTACAGCGGGTGTGCACACTCCGCGACACATAGCATTTGAATGCATTGAGTCAGAAGCGTGAGGGCAGCACAATCAACCAACGGTCGCGGGCTGGTATCTACCGTCCGGGCTGTTGGGTTAGAGTGGACTCTAAACACGCCTGTCAGATGTTTCGTTGGCGCTACTGTCTCACCCCGTGGTGGTAACTCAGGGGAGCCATATCAAGAGGCCTTGTCCCGGACCCGTGTATCGGCTATAACACACCTCGACCCAGTCGTCCGCAATGAAAGTCCCAGGCTGTTTTCGCCCTACATAACTTAAACTTTATTACGAGCGAGCGAGCGCAGCGAGCGAAGCGAGTCTTTTCAATATAACGGAAAAATCTCAGTATGAGCGGCCCGGCCCGGCCCGGCCCGGCCTGTAACGCTTTTGAGAGGCTTATATCTCAGCAACCGCTGGACCGATTGGCCTGCGGTCTTTTTTGTTGGGTAGCCCCATCCCTTCTACCCCGTAATTGACTACTTTTGATACATCTCAGTGACGGTCGTGGCACGTGCCACGTGAAAAGTCAAGGGTGTTCAAGCTGTTTTGCAAAAGTAGTGATTTTGAGAGGCCCATATCTCAGCAGCCGCTTGAGCGATTGTCTTGCGGTAATTTTTATAGGGTAGCTGCATCCCTTCTACCAAAAATAGGATACTCTCGATGCATGTGGGTCACCCCCAGTGCACGTGCAAAATACAACAATAAGAGGTGCCAAATTTGTTCTCATTTCAGTAACTCGGTAATTACTGGGGCGATTTCGCTGAAACTTGGCATACAGGTAGGCACCCACCAGGCAATGCATTCCCATGTGTTGCGGTTAGGGTGCTACTGCACGTGCGCACGTGCAGGGGGCGTTTCCAGATCTCGAGAACGGCTGGGCCGATTGCGCTCAAATTTGGTATACGGTTGGGGACCAGTTAGTAGGGTGCCGTGCAAAAGTCATTTTGGACCCCGTTTGCACGTGCGCACGTGCAGAATGCCGCTTCCAGATCTCAGGAACGGCTGGGCCGATTGCGTTCAAATTTGGCACACCGCTAGCGACCGGTTAGAAGGGTGCTTTGCACAAGCCTGTTGGAAGTACCCTCTCGTCCTTCCGCACGTGCAGGGCTCACTATCTCGCTCGCTCGTTCTTCGCCCAAAAGGCGTTTTACTGGTCAATATAACGGAAAAATCTCAGTATGAGCGGCCCGGCCCGGCCCGGCCCGGCCTGTAACGCTTTTGAGAGGCTTATATCTCAGCAACCGCTGGACCGAATGGCCTGCGGTCTTTTTTGCTGGTTAGCCCCATCCCTTCTACCTCGTAATTGACTACTTTTGATACATCTCAGTGACCGCCGTGGTACGTGCCACGTGAAAAGTCAAGGGTGTTCAAGCAGTTTTGCAAAAGTAATGATTTTGAGAGGCCCATATCTCAGCAGCGGCTTGAGCGATTGTCTTGCGGTCATTTTTATAGGGTAGCTGCATCCCTTCTACCAAAGGTCGGATACTCTTCATCTATGTGAGTGACCCCCACTGCACGTGCAAAATACAACAATAAGAGGTGCCAAATTTGTTCCCATTTCAGTAACTCGGTAATTACTGGGGCGATTTCGCTGAAACTTGGCATACAGGTAGGCACCCACCAGGCAATGCATTCCCATGTGCTGCGGTTAGGGTGCTACTGCACGTGCGCACGTGCAGGGGGCGTTTCCAGATCTCGAGAACGGCTGGGCCGATTGCGCTCAAATTTGGTACACGGTGGGGGACCGGTTAGTAGGGTGCCGTGCAAAACTCATTTTGGACCCCGTTTGCACGTGCGCACATGCAGAATGCCGCTTCCAGATCTCAGGAACGGCTGGGCCGATTGCGTTCAAATTTGGTACACCGCTAGCGACCTGTTAGAAGGGTGCTTTGCACAAGCCCGTTGGAAGTACCCTCTCGCCCTTCTGCACGTGCAGGGCTCACTATCTCGCTCGCTCGTTCTTCGCCCAAAAGGCGTTTTACTGGTTCCTAAATATCTGTGGGCACTGGGCATTGCCTTTTCTTTGATTTATCGACGATCGATGGATGTTGATGTGCTGTAGAAGCTAACAGCTTAGCAATAATTTGATGACCATTATCATTGCGATACATTTTTGAATTGTACTATTGAAAGTAGTTAATGACCAATATCATGCTTTGATATTACTGTTTTGCGTATCCGACCTATGGTTTAGAATGCACACGCAATACACTTTCCTACTTATTATTCAAACCTACAGAACAGCATATTTCTTTTCAGCCCACAGGCATCCCCATTTACGAAGCTGAATACATGCTGCCACCAACCAACACTTATAAATGCCCGCCGATGACCTCTGAGGTCCGGCTAAAATCACAAGCCATTATCATTATCACTACCAACACTTATTTCACCATGTCATTACACGTCGCTACCTATGTGATGCACAATTGACAAAGTCGTTGTGCATGCCTGCGTTTGATAATTGCTAAACCGTTATAGTAAAAATGCCCAATAAGGCCTAATTCACCATAGCGGCCTGACGTCTAGGCCTGGCAGGTGCCCCCTGTGACCCTTAGCTGACCCAATATGACCCCCAGCTAACCCAGTACGACCCATAGCTGACCCAGTGTGACCCCCAGCTGACCCGACGTGACCCCCAGCTGACCCGGCGTGACCCGCAGCTGACCCGGCGTGACCCGCAGCTGACCCATTGCGATCCCTAGCTGACCCAATATGAGCCCCAGCTGACCCATTATGACCCCCAGCTGACCCAGTGTGACCCCCAGCTGACCCATTGCGACCCCCACCTGACCCGACGTTGTCCGCCAGTGTTGCAGGCGTTCCGCGCCGAGGAGGGACGGAGACCACTGGCGACCTCTGCTGACACGGACGCCGCGCGGCTCTTAGCTCTGCGCGACTCGCTGAAGGGCCTGCCGACCGACAAAGTTGGAGATGCGTTCACCAGGTGAGTAGAGCTGTCTGGGACGGCTGCCTCACCCGACCGCCGCGACCCGCCCCGCTACGTAAGGGATACGGCAGTTCCTTGTGATGCAGGCCGGCAGATATGCATCTCATCGACGAAACTGCCGAGTGTTCTGTCAACAGTAACGCACGCGTGCACTTCGTCCTGCGGACACCACGCCGCACATATTGCTTGTGGCACAGAATGAGGGCAGTTCAATCCCCTCGACTGGATGATGAGGTATATACAGCGTAAATGTGTGACCGTACGGCCGAAATATTTGGACCCTTTGACCCTGTCCGAAGCCAGGCCACATATCCACCACCGAGGCATGGCCTGTCAGACGGCTCAGGGAATCAGGTCAGCTGTCGATAGGATTCGATACCGCAGCTACCACTGCTGCTGTGGCTGCAGCCTGCAGGTGTTGATGTGGTATAGTTGAGGTCACGCCTGTGGGTCGACTCCTGAGGCCAACTCCCGCCCGGTGCCCAGGCGACTAGGTAACTAAGGACTGTCCCGGCGCCTAGCCTGGAGCACCAGTGACTTGATCACCTGTCTCCGCGTCCAATCGAACTCGCGTATGTCGCCGAGGTAGCCAGTGCGATCGTTCCGTGTCGCCGCGTGGTAATGGGATGCGCATTCGTTGGGTGGTGTGTGGAGGTGACGGGCGATCGGGTCAGGCCGGCCGCCCGCCGGGGTGAATGGCCCTCCGCTGTGACCCGTCGCCACGTGGCCACGAGCGGGTGCGCAGGTGTCTGTGCCCTGTCGGCGAGGGACGCGTCCCCTGCCGGCCGACTGGCGCGGCGGCGGTGACCTGGCGCCCGGGTGCCCTGTCCGCGCGGGCGGCGAGGTAGCACCTCTCGACTCGGCCTGGCTCGCGCACCGGCTGGGCCGCCTGTTCCGGCCACTGGGCGCCTCTGGTGCCCTCTGAGAAGCCACCCGATGCTTTTTTTAGCGTGCCGGTGTGGCCTGGATGTAGCGGGATAAAAAAGGCTCGTCCTGGTTTCAGATAACATCAAAATAGGCCTCAGCCAGGATTAAAAATAGAGCAACGGTAAACCCTGAACATTGGTGATAAACTAGCTAGAATGGAGCTCATTTCAGGATTATCTTTTTATATAAACGAATGTTTTGTCTGGCATGCTGACGATCGGTTGACTTGTATGTAGTTATGACGATTGACAGTGGAATATTACCGAAAAAGAGCGAAATGTCATGCACGCACACTGCACAGTCTTGAAACTTATTAATGTCATTTAAATGGAAGGCAAACATTGTGCGTTGCAATCGTGAGGGATTATGCTAATTGAGTGTTGCGTAGGTCTTGTTGATATATTGTTCCCACGATTAATGCCTTTGAGCCCTTTCCTAGCTAGCCAGTAGACAGTGCTGTATTAATGCTAATCCTAATATTTACATACAACGTGGCATCATTTTATGGGGTCCATCTTTCATGATACTCAACCTCTGGATCGCTGCCCATCGCTCAGCGTAAGGTCAGCTGATTAGGAAAACACGAAATTGACAGAGTTCGCGGCGCTACGGGTCCGTCCCATTCGATGATGTAATGGACTGGTGACCCTGACAGAACTTCTGGCTCTCAGCCCTCTGTCCAATAAAAAATATGGCAATAGAGACATCATTTTCTTGGAAAAACTATTGTGATGCAGTATTGTACTCTTGTAAATTTACATGGGAAACGTCGCTAATTTACAATGTAAATCACTCGTGGGTCTCAGATAACCTTTCTTTTTCACGAAATACCAATTTGTCGGTACCAGGGACGAATGTGCTCCATTTGTCGCTTTCAGAATGCTGACAAATGACAAAGTTGCGGTCAAACTGGTCGGTTCTGGCTCCGGCAGCACTGGTTTTAGGCTGCTGACTGGTTGTATGTACCAGCACTTCTTAAACTCTGTATAGGTATTGGAAGTATAGAGGCCAATGATAGTGATGCGTGTTATTTCCAAATTGGCTCATTGTTTTTAAAGCTTTGGTTGGATCGTTGGATAAATGCTGCAAATATCGAATAAGTTGAAAATTTATTGCTCATGGACGGTGGGAGGGGGGAGGGAGGGGGTACAGTGGCGGCAGCTCACAAGTCACAATGCTGGGAGATAACATTGTTTGGGCGTCAATGTGACAGCAGCTTTGTTGGGACCTGACAGCGGCGCCGCCTTCCATGGCGTAAAAATGAATCGACTGTCGACACTACCTTGCACAAACAATTTTGTTGTTAGCGTATTGTAAAAACTGCCAGAACAACAGTGCCAAGTTCTTGCCGAATCAGTATGATTTCGTCTAGCTATTCCGTTCATCGTCATCAAGAGAGATGTTACCCTCTATGTGCAGATGAACGCTAACATAGGTACATATGTATGTAGCTTGTTGGCGTCATAATCCGAACCGTGACATCTCTTTAGCGCCAACAGCTCGCGATGGGACGGGCTCCGCGGGTTGTTGGGCACGCGCCCGTCTGCCGTCTGCAGGTCGGCAGTGTCCGACAGCGGCACAATGATCTCCCGTCGGGATGACCGCTGTAAAAAGCGCCGCGCGTGCGTGTGTGGCCGGCCGGGCTCTGTTTGTGTTGTGTTAGCTGTCGGACGTGCATGCTGGCGGCGCCGGCCCAGTTGCCATCGGGCCCACCCGAGTCGCCTCTCACGGCGCGCCGGCCGCGGCTCACGCGGCACTTGTGGCCGGCAAACACCTCTTTAGTTCCGGCGCCTTCCGCCCGGCGCGGCCGTATCGCCCATTCCGCGGTCACCTGCTTTAGATGTTCGTATGACGCGTGTGAACTGTGCCACCGTGGTGAGCGATCACACCACATCAAAATAACAAAATAACAGACATCATCCAGAATGGTTACACCCCATTAAAAGAACATGGAAAACGATTCTCGAGTTGTAAGGCCAATGGCAATTCTGCTGCCGGTTGGTAGTGATGGTCAGAATTTGAAATACAGTGGGCAATTACAGAGGTGCTGCGTATTAGTGAAATTGAACTTGTTACAATATTATTCCGCTTGGAGTTAAACATCTTAATTGTCAAGTGGCTTCGCCCGTTCTCGCGTTGGCGTTGCGTGAACCACACTGCCTACACGCCTAACACTGCCTACACGCCGACACGTGGCACCCGTGGGCCGCGTCATCAACGTCCAGCTTTTGATGTCCATCGAACTTGGCGTATGAGCTGTCGCTAAAGCCGTGGAGGGTATGTCTGACTCCGCGACAGAAATACGACACGCGGCACCTCAGCTGAGACTGACAGGAATACTAAATGCTGGGGATCCGGGACAGGTGCAGGCGTGCGTATTGTGGGTCATGGCGGTCGTACTGACCATTTGAGAAGCTATAAGACGCATTTTAGACTACCCTACTCATGAGCTGAATAAAACTCTGCATTTTTAGCTAAGGCAAACATTTTGGCTTTTTGACGCTTATTGCGGTTCCATAAGCCGCAAGTGCAAATCTATGATCTTTTTTTTTGGGGGGGGGCGAGGGCCTTCTTTCTCCCAAGGATGGATGGTTGAAAGGTGTTTGACGTCTTCTCCCGACCTTAACCCGCGACCTGGTGGGGGGGGCTATTTTTTGCCCCCCCCTCCAGACTTTTCGATATATCTCCAGAACCGCTGCGCCGATCGTCACCAGACTTTCAGTACCCTCCCGGACATCAATTTTACACATGGTGACCAAAAATTTTTCCAAAGGCTATGATAGGTTGGCCGGAAATGACGTCAGAGTGACGTCATGTTCTGCCGTTTTCGACCCAAAAAAGGGTTTCGCGGGAAGAGCTGTCAGGCCTATAGCTTTGCAAATACAGAAAAATGATAAGGACATAAAAGCTGTAGAATTGACAGGGCTACAAAACTGCTATCTCGGATTTTTGAAATTTTAGGATTTTGACCCCCAAAAATCAAAAAATAAATTTTTGGGATATAATGATCGAAAAATGCAAAAAGTTGTTTGAATTTCGCAAAAACCGGAATATATGTGATAGTCCTTACCGCCTTCCATCCACATACCAAATTTGAGATTGATACCTCTTTTTTTGGCGAAGTTATAGTGAAAAACTTCAAAATTGATGACGTCAAATTTTCAAACTCAATTTTTAGCAATTCTAGACCCCGTAGCGCAAAACAAAGACCACCATTAGACTCCCCGTGACGAGCTGCATCGAATCAATACCCATTTTATGCAAAACTATCAACTTTAAAATTTGACCTTTTTTGGCCTGACCTTGACCTGACCTTGACCTGAACCTCACCAGAAAGTGACCTAAGCCGTACCTGATAGTCTTATAACCAACACCATTGAGTTGGAAATGAAAAATTGGCCATAAAACATGCATCACACAACCTTAGTAAAGTTGGGCTCATGTGACCTGACCTGTGACCCTTGGTGACCTGACCTGTGACGTGACCTGGTATTGTCAGTGACCTCTAATAGCAACATATCTACTAGGCAACTGACGCCCTATCGCTGATTCTCGACAAAATGCGTTTTCCTCGGTGTTATAGCGCATTCCCTAGAAGACCCGTGAACGGTGAAACATTTCATCTTTGACCTGACCTGTGACGTCATCGGTGACCCCGAGGTCAATGAAATTTGGTTTACCTCGACAAATTTGACAGGCCTTTCGAACGCCGTTTGAATTTTGCGGATCCGTCCAGTAGTTTCGGAGATACGAGGGGGGGGGGGGGGCAAAAAATAGCCCCCCCCACCAGGTCACGTTATAAACAGACCCCACCAGGGCGCGGGTTAACTGCGTTAATATGGGCCCACTTTTGAGTTACCTGATGCCAACGAAACGGCCGTCGCGTGACATATTACGTCTGCTCGTGCTATTTTCTCGCTTACTCGCGATCAGTGGTCCCGACTACTTTTTGCATAATTAGCACAACTACTCTGTAGTAGGCTCAGGAATTAGAACACGAATTCTGTTTGCGATGTGTTATAACGTGAAATGTGTTTTCGTTAGGGACGTGAACACTGTAAATTACTCACAAATCAATTACCTCGAGCCATCGCTAGCTTTCCGCCAGTGTGGCCCATGCCCGACCAAATAATGTATTCTGCCAGAGATAAATCGAGCTGGCCGTCGCTCATACGTACTGTTACCTTATTTAAGAATGAATTATTGAAATCGGTGTTTCGCCGTAAACCGAGGCTGAATGGCGGTGTCCAGCTATATTTGGTTTGCTCTATGATTGTGTGTGGTTGTGTGCGCTGGTTGTCCGTGGTTTTGTCACGTCCCAGACCTTTGCCTTTGACCTGGTGTGACCTGACTTGGGTCACGTGATTCTGACAGACCTACCGTTTTGAGTAGGTACGGGTCTGAGGCACCGCAGCTCCGTTCACTTGCTCATTTCACACGGCCCATTTTAGTCAGTCCCCGCGCAGTCCACCCCGCAGTTCGACCCTCACCCGATCCATTACACAGGACTGCCCTCGCCCAGCCCTTCTCACAGTGCTGCTCGGCCCGGTCCATCTCATGGCCCGATCCCCGGCTGATCCACAGTTCGTCCCCGTCCGGTCAGCCTCACAGTTCTGTCCGGCCGGGTCCATCTCACATTCCTGCCCAAGCCCGGCCATCTCACAGTTCTGTGCCTGTCTGGTCGGGCCATGTGAGACGCCCCACAGATGAGCGGTCGATACTGAGCTCGAAGGTGCTCGCTGTACGTCTAACGGCGCCCGACGGGGTGTCGAGATCACAAAAAGCGCCCGCCGCCTCCGGCAAACACCTGTCGCTCGCCAGACGACTGATGAATTCCAAACTGTCGGATTCCGCGCCGCCGCTCGACGTTCGACGGGCGGGCGTCGATTTCGGCTCGTTCCACTGACCCACGCGGTGTGCGCCCGGGCCCGGGCCCGACGGCCAGGCGCTGACCCACTCACGGCCGCCGCCGCCGCCTCTCTGATACCATCAGGTAGTTTGTCACATTACTATCGGACAGCTGCCGCCGCTTGAATCTGAATGGCAGTTTCGTGTGCTCTATCTCATCGGAAACCTATGAGGTCGCGATGGAGTGGGAAAGATCCATCTCCAAGGGCCAGATATTTCTCCCATTGTGCTTCTAAGGTTCATCATGCTCCAAAAACACGATATGGCGCTTACAGGGCCTCCATTGGAAGCAATTTGAGTTATTTTGGTGAGTGTTGTGTATAGTGTAACGAATCGGGCTTGTTTGTTGTTATCATTAAAATCAAATAGAACCCTGCATTGGGATCAAGAAGTTAAAACGTTTCACCCGCAGCAAACCTTGTTTGGAGCATTAATAATACCAGGGATGGGGCTACCCAACAAAAAACACCTCATGTCAATGGGCCCAGCGGTTGCTGAGTTATGAGCCTCTGAAAAGCGTTACAGGCCGGGCCGGGTAGGGCCGCTCGACTCATATTGATATTTTTTTCCGTTATATTGAAAAGACTTCGCTTCGCTCGCTGCGCTGGCTCGCTCGTAACAACTTGTTAGCTTTATGGAATGGATGTTCTTCATTTTGATTTCAGTTTTTTATCTAGGCGTTACAGTGCAAACATGTCGATACACGGAGATCAGTTGGTTCCAGACATTGCACGCTTTTCCGAGGGTCATTGGAGGCTGCTTATTGTTTAGTTTACTGTTAACGCCAGACCCCTTGAGACCCTAATTTTTCGCGATTATTTTTAAATGCGTGGAGGAATTTCAACCAAGCTCAGGACATGGCCGTTTCAAGACCTGCCGAAACTTTTACAATTTAGATATTTTATCGCCATTTCAATATTTCAGGCACTTGTCATTGACTCGTAATGTTCAATTTCGAGCAAGATTTTCACCCGGTGTGTAGAGGCTATCACCAGTCAGTCTGTGATACGTTATGACGTCACAGCTAAGCCCCGCCTCTGTGGTCTTGGCCTGCGGCGGTTTCGGGCCGGCGCGCGGTCTCTATAGCCTTGGCGCGGTCACTCTCGCTGTGGCGGGGAGCGGGGACGGTCGAAAGGTGCCGAAAGCCGGCGGAGTTGTGCGTAGCGTCTTGGCTGACAGTGCCCAGAGAGCGACATGATGACTGAGGAGCCATAAATGCTCAATGCGCATTGCTTGTACAATGCTGATATGTTCGCTGATATTTGTTTTATTTTTTATAAGCTGCAAATGACGGGCAGATGGCATATAACTGACATAAGGTTAGGAAATATTCACCTGTATTTAAAGCCTATGGCGTTGCAGATAATGCGATAATGGGATGTCGGATGTCACCAAGTTGCTGCCGATTTGTACATCGCTATGCAACCATCGAACAACGCAATAATAAGTTAATAGGGCTCGGACCTAATTTTTTTCCTCCATAGACCTGTATGTCTTCTGAAAGCTCATTAATTATATTGCCGATTTTCAAATTTTCGTTTTCTAAATAACTCTATATTTTACGTAAATGCTAAAAATGTTTTCGAATTTCCAAGGCTTCCATTGGCCGAACAGGTCGTGACGTCACAACACAGCAGCCCGCAGTATGGCGCCTGCTTACTTATTGTGAAGCGCGCTAGGCCGGATATTTGTGCTTGATTAATTTAGTATTTTTGCTGCATTTGGGGCATTTAAGTCGATATTTTCTGTGGAAAAGAATGGAGGCAGGTTTTCAGAAGGCGACATCTCAAAATTTGCCCTTAGTGCACATATTTGATGTGTACAACTTCTTCATGACGCGCGACACATATGTCTCGGCCGAATTCAGGATGAAGAAGCTTGAAAGGTGAATATGAGTGCTATCAGTATTTTTTATTAAGTCACCATGTTTATTGTCAATAAGGTAAAAGAATAGTATGACCCCCAAATGATAAGGAAGTGTTGATATTGGGCTTGATTGATGGAGGGTTCAGTGTTCGGTTTTCGGAAATACCAGATCCCTGTTCCAATTTCATTCATCAACATTAACAAGTTGTGATTCTCTTTTGCAGGTCATCACGTCCGGATTATGGAGATGATGCAGTGGGATACGTGCAAGTGAGGAATTCCACAGAAGGGAGTACTGTTCGTGCGAAGATCATCCCAGAGCACCGCGTCAGTAAGGGGTCATACCCTGTCACCGTGCAGCTGGACTGTGGAGGTGCTATCACCATGGCTCAGTGTGAAGGGTGTCAAGCTCAACATGGTGGGTGTAAGCATGTTGTTGCTTTTCTGTTCTGGCTGCAGAGGCGCAGTTCTGAGAAGTCCACCACAGAGGTGAAGTGTTACTGGAATCGACCGAGGCTGGCTGAGGTGCCATCTGCAAAGCCTGCAGAAATAAGCGTGATGTTCCGTGCTAGACAGGCTGAGCAGAGAAGTAAGATGGTAGGCCCTAAAAACAGTCTGCTGAAAGCAGTCCTGACCGAGGTGAAAGGATGCAGGTCAGTTCTTACTGACGTGCAGTGCGGTGGAGAGGACCTGAAGGGTCTCTGTGTCGGTAATATGCTGCAAGATTATGCGCCTGGGTCTGACATCATCCTGCACATGCAGGATAAAATATCTCCTGGAGATATTCGTGCTGTTGAAGCTGCCACGAAGGCGCAAGCAGACAGCCCATTGTGGCATCATCTGCGCTCTGGCAGGCTCACGGCTTCAAGGATCTACGATGTGTCAAGATGCTCGATGACTAATGGTTCGCTAGTGGAGTCGATTCTCGGTGCCACTGTGTTCGCGGGGAACGTGCATACCTTGAGAGGAAGGCGCCTTGAAAGGGAAGTTTGTGATGAGGTGGAGAAGCGCCTTAGTGTGAAGATACGTGGCTGTGGATTGTCGATAGATGGTGACATCCCTCTGCTCGCTGCGAGCCCTGATGGACTGTGTGAAGTGGATGGAGAGATGGTGGTCGTAGAGGTGAAGTGCCCCTCATCTGTGCGCACTTTAGGTTCCTACTTGGATGAGAACCGTCAGGCAGCACCCAAGGTGCTGGCACAGGTCCAGCTGCAGATGAAGATCTTGGGTCTTCAAAAGGGTCTTCTGTGTGTTGCAGACCCTTCTTTCGAAACAAACAAGGAGGTGCATATCGTAACAGTCAACTATGATGAGGAGCTGATCATGGAAGTTTTGGACAGGGCCATAGCTTTCTGGAAACGTGCCATACTGCCCGTTATCATGGCGTCAGAAAACGGGCCTCCTAGTATGCCCAGCGTGACGCGTGCGCCGGCGGCGTCTAGCGTTGCGCGCGCGTCCGGCGCGGCTGCTGCGTCCAGCGTGACGCGCGTGTCTGGAGTGCCCGTGGCGTCTAGTGTGTCTCGCGCGTCCGGCGCGCCCGCTGCGTCTCGCGCAACGCGCGTGTCTGGAGTTCCTGTGGCGTCCGGCGCGCCCGCTGTGTCTCGCGTGACGCGCGTGTCTGGAGTTCCTGTGGCGTCCGGTGTGGCGCGCGCGTCCGGCGTGGCGCGTGTGTCTCGCGTGACGCACGTGTCCAGAGTGCCTGCAGCGTCCGGTGTGACGCGCGCGACCGGAGTGCCTGCGGCGTCCGGTGTGGCGCGTGTGCCCGGTGACACGCGTGTGCCTGTCGCAGCCGGCGTTCCTGCGGCGTCCGGTGTGACGGGCGTCTCCGTCGCGGACGGTGTGTCTGTTTCGAGGCGCATACCAGTGCTTATTAGAACTGGTGATAAGATTCGTTTGCTGAAATATGTACGCTCAATGGACGCACCCGGCCCCGGAAGCCCGTGAATAAGAGGCCTGCATTCGTGAATGTGGATATAGGTCCTGTTTGATTTCGTTGTCCACTGGATGCAAGCATGCTGTGGTACTCCTCGCAATGTAACCACCTGGATACTGTTGTGCTGTTTACGCTTCGCGATGTTTTGGATAAACCAAATAAAGTGGCTAAAAAGTTGACAAAACGTCTCTGGTTGGTACGGCAGGACGCACTTGAAAAGCATCGCTCTACTGATTTTGCATGTATTGTTTCATTGTACATATTCATGTGTAAACAATACATTTAAACGAGACAAGAAGCTGGCGCTCGAGAGAAGCCCGAGATTCGCGGACATCTTCACATGCATGCATAACACGAACACTCTCCGGGACTGGCACATGCACAAGACAAAGCTCAAAGTTCGCGAGAGCATTAACGCGCAAAGAAGGCGACAAAAACGACGCCTCGTCATTGAAGACGGGAACTGCTACACAGCGTTACGGTCGCGATTTGCGGGAACAGCCACGTACGTGCTGTCATCACATCAGTACGAACACACGCACGTCTCGTGCCTGACAGACGGAGCTACAGTATGGGTACGGTCTGCGACGCAAGCGCATTAACACATGTACACATGACATAGGAGGAACGCAAAAAGACGTTGAATATCTGCAATGACCGAGGTAACTACAGAACAGTTCGCCGTCAACATGAGTTTGCTCACTAGCCTTCGAGACCTGTGTTTTTACGTAGGGAAGTCTAGTCACGACTTCTTTGCGGTCCTACACCCTAATCAGAGGCGGTTGAAGGTTGGTAAGTGCACATACTGTAAGGACACACTCATCTAACAGTGACCACAACTGATGCCACTGGCGGATCCAGGGGGGGGCATTAGGGGCATATGCCCCCCCCGACAGGAGCCTGGGGAGGGCATTCAGTACAAGTATGCCCCCCCCGTTCAGACTTACACTTCTTACGCCTATAACGAGGAACTAAATAAAAATGGATTAGAAATCCTTCCTAGTAACTACTTTTGTGATCAGAGTCGTTTTAGTAGCCTCAATTTAGTTGTCATTGCTTTATTTTGTAAGTATGTTGCTTCTTAGTTCTTACCACAGGGGAGTCATGCCGCTTCAACACTTTTGACCGTATTGTCTAACGATGGCACTCATATTGCGCAAACCAGGTATCGGCCGCCGCCTATGCTTGAGAATAGGGACGGTTAGAATATGATTTACCTTTATCAGTATGGCCGCAGCCAGTGCAGCGTAACCGGGGGGGGGGGGGGGCACAAGGGGCGCGTGCCGCCTCATTAGATGCATGGTGCCCTATGGGCCCGAGAGGCCCTGCAGTGCCAATTGGCCGCTCAGGGTCCAAGCATGCCTTATTTCGACTGAGATAAGACCCGCAGGACTCGTGAGAGCACCTCACGGAGTCACGGCCTCCTGAGTCGCCACACATCACACATCTCCATAAGGGCCCCACTCCGGCTTCTGAGGGCCCTGTGCTGACCTCTGAGTGACCTTGCTGACCCATTAAGCGTCAGCTCAGCTTTAATTAGGGTCCTGACCCATACCCGCATGGAACGGCTCCACACCAGTGCCTCTGAGGGCCCATAACGGCGCCTGTGAGGGTCTCACACTGGCGCCTTTGAGGGCCCAACACCGCCAATCTGAGGGACTAACACCAATATTTCTTAAGGCCCTACATCGGCGGCCGCTCTGAGGGCCCCACACTGGCGCCTCTGAAGGTCTTACACAGGCGCATCTGACGGCTACCTACCTGCAACTCTGTGGGCCCCACACTGGTGACTCTGAGGGCTCCCACGCCTGAGAGTACCACGCCGGTCTCCTGGATCCCACAGGGCTCCTGAAGGCCTCTGCTGGCCCTTGCTGGTCTCTTGAAGACCCCTTGCCCCCATGCATGTGTCTCTGAGGAGTGAGGACTCCCACAACGATGCCTTTGAAAGTCTTCACCGGCGACTGAGAGGGCACCACACAGACACGTCTGAGGGCCCTACACCGCCACGTCTGACACACCAGTGTCTCCTGAGGTCCCACATAGGCGACTCTGAGGGTCCCACACTGGCGCCTCTGGGGCCCCACACCAATGCCTCTGGCAGTCAGCCACCGGTAACACCGGTGACTCTGAGGGCCCCACCGGCGTCTGAGAGTACCATGCCGATCTCTAAGGACTCCACAGGGCTCCTGAAGATACTGCCGGCCCTCACTTGCCGGCCTGTGAAGGCCCATTGTTGGCATCATACGGCCCGTTACCGGCCTCTGAGGGCCCTTTGTCGGTCTCTGAGAGGTTCTACTGGGTTATTAACCCGCGCCCTGCTGGGGGGGGGGGGGGGTGTTTGAACACCCCCCCCTTGTGGTTTTTCGCGAATATCTCAAAAACGGCGGCGCGGAGCGCCGCCGTTTTTGGTACACCTTATCATACATCAATTCTACACATGTTGTGAAAATTTCAGACCAAGGTCATTCAAGGTCAGGTCACCAGGTCACTTGAAGTGACCTCACCTCATAAAAAGTTTCAATGTCTGTCATAGCTACACCGAGTGACCGATCGCTTTGAAACTTTCAGCGATTGCTAAGAGCAATAGCATGTACAAAATGTATATCTCAGAATTTTGATATCGATGACCTAAGGTCAGGTCAATTTTGCGACCTCCCCATTATAAGTCAATGGGAGAAAATTGAAATGCGCCTCTTTTGGACGAAAGACATTATAAACACTCCTAAACACTGAATTACAAGTTGTTTAGACACACTGAACATGGAAATGGTGTCCGTGACCCCTGTTTATGCCCTGAGGTCATCTTAGGTCACGAATGGTATCTAACAGTTTTTCGCAAATAACTGTTGATAGAGGCATGCTAGAGCGATGAAAACGCCTTAGATGTGTTCAGCTCGACGATACGGATCGACTGATATGCAACATGACCCTTTCCGGTCAGGTCATGACCTTGACCTGAGGTCAAATTTTCAAGTTGACCTTTCAAGGTCAAGTTATAGTTCATTCGATGCGTCTTGACGAGAGGAACACGATGCTGGTAAAAGTAAGCTCGTACAAGGCTTGGGTCAAAAGTTATTGCAGAAAAACTGTTTCCAAAAAATCGGCTATTTTTGCAGTTTTTGCCCCCTGCAGGCAAAACCGTTGACGTTAGGTCAAATCTGAGAGAATTACTCAGAAAGGGCGTTAATAGGGCTATCGAATGCGCTTTTCCGCGGCGCTGTAGCTCTATTGGTTCCCGAGTTATGCGCTGGCTTCTTGGAAATTGTCGACATTCGACCTGGAAATCGGCGAAATTTTGCCTTCAATGACCTCTGGTGACCTGACCTTTGACCTGACCAAAAAATTGACCGAAGTGATTTCCTCATTATTTTTGACGCTCTTTCGAACGCCGCCTTCCGCGTATCGCTACGTGGCTCAGGAGCCGAGTTAGAAGGGGGGGTGTTCAAACACCCCCCCCCCCCAGCAGGGCGTGGAAATCCAGGACCCCCAGCCGGGCGCGGGTTAAGCATTCGCATTTCGCACCAACCACTCCAAGGGCCCCACACACAGCCATCTGTGAATGGTGTGGGCTTAGCGCCACACCAGTGTCTGAGGCACCACAACGGCGTCCATGTGAGGGCCTCACACCAGCACCTTAGAGGGCCCACACCGGCTCCTTTGTGGTTCCTGCACCAGTGCCTCTGAGGGCCCCACACCACTGCCTCTGGGGAACCCACACCGATACCTTTGATGGTCCCACGCCAGTACCTCTTAAGGTTCCACACCGGCGACCCTGGGTCGGCTCTTTACCTACACCAGTCATTCTGAGGGCCCCACCGGCCCCACCAATTTTCGTCGATTTCTGGCGCTGCCCGGGTGTTTGTCCCAAAAGCCTCCTCCTCCTGGATCTGCCAATGGGGGTCAGGTGTCCTACCATTTCTGTTTTTTTTTTAGAAAAAAAAAACTCGTGTCAGGGCTATGACGAAAAATAAGTGGCCTAAATCCGATGAGAAAACAGGATTTGGGGGTACCCTAGGTTTGGCTCCGTGACCTGGTATGCCCCCCCCGCGCTGACACCCTGGATCCGCCAGTGACTGATGCTCTATGCACGCGTTCGGTCGAAGCAGTTCGAACTCACGCACCCGTCTTATGGCTCTTTCTACGTGTATCCTCAGACTAGCGATCTGTTTTGACCACTTCACTTCCTTTTTTGTCATAACACTGCTACTGCTCACAGATGACGGGCGGACCAGCGTGCACCCTTTTTGCGCCAGCAGTGGTTCCAAACTCTTGAAACCACGGTCAGCCATCACAATCATTCCAGGCTCGAGGTTATCCATGAACCCACTCGTTTCCAATATGGCCATGTCAGAGCTTCGGCCCCCACATCCTTTGGAAATGAAATTTACAAATCCGTTCGGCGTGATGGACAACAGATATTTTGCAGTATTGCACGATTTGTATGATGAGTACGTCATAGACTGCTTGAAGGAGCCACTTGGTTTCTCCACCTGAATTTCCATGCAGTCTATAATGCAAGTTGTTCGAGCGAACCGGGCCTTAAAGGCCAGCGGTAGGGCCTGCCTGATGGCTTCAGTTTTTGGCCAGTAAACAAGTTCTCGCATTGCTGATGCGATGAAAGGGAGATGTTTCGCGAACAGCCTGCTGGCATAGCTACGTGAAATCCCAAAATCATCTGCGATCAGGTCAAAGCTTTTGTTTTGCTTGATTTTCATTAAAACGAGCAAGCAAACATCAAAAGCTGTGAGTTTTGACCCACCTCCGTGCTCTGGCTCGATGTGATCCCTAGCCAAAATTTCAATGACCTTGAGGTACCCTGCTGGAACACCAATATATCTCTTGGGGTCCTTTTTACACAGCTTTCTGATTCGATCACGAACAAAATGCTCATAGTCAAACTCCAGATCGGCATCAGTTTCATCACCACCACTGTCAACCTCAAAGTCTTTGTCCTGTACATCAGTGATATCCTGGTTAGAACTCGAATCATCACCTGATTCCTCGGCACGGAGTGTAGAAGGACCTTCCAGTGCTGATGAAGACATGTCTGTCTGGGAAGCCGAGGTCGTTGTGGTTGTCTCCGTTTGGCACCCGACAGCTTTCCGGGATGGTAGAGCAGGCACCTCTGGGTCTTCAACTGGCTCGGCAGTATCTGCTGGTGAAGCATCCTGAAGAACAGAGAGTCCATCTTGTCATGATTAAATGTCTATAGTTATATGATGTGGGGACTAGACACGACATGCTGAGGGTGAGTGGCTGGGTGCAATGGCTTACTCTTCGAGGTGTTAATGATACTGAGACAGGTACTAGCTGTGAGTTGCGACTACATGGTAGGTAGTGTGAAATATTAAATAGCAGTGATGTAACCTAGGATGTACCTACTTAGTACCTAATGCAATGCCAAGGAACAAGATATAAAGCCTCCGCATCACCGGGCCTCAAAGTCCAACACAATTTCTGAACCTGAACCACCAATATGCAGCATTGAAAACACGATCAGTTAATTTGCTAGGGAACATTTGCAGCGAGTCCAGATATGCATAAACTTAGCATAGTTGACATTCACTTACCTCATCATCTAAAGCAAGTGCAGCCTCCAGCTGTGTTGCTTGGCTTCGCCTGACGGACGTAGTTCTCTCCCGACTGTCTTTGATGCGCTTTGGTTGGCATGCAAATTTATGCGGGACAGCTTCACTTTTCAGAAGAAGCTTACCCCCAACCATGCAGTACCTCCTGTAGTTCTGTGCATCATTCTCCAACTAGAAAGCAAAAATGCATGTTAGTATATGCATGACAAAAATGCTAACACATTTACCGAATGAGTTTCTTGGATGACAATGACTCAAAATTTAGGCAGGCACACACCTTTATGGACACATATGTAGGTATGTGCTGCAAGCATACATTCCTACACACAGACAATATTAGAATTTGAACAAACAAATGATGACTGATGACAGTTATTGTTGCAGAGTTTCACAGTTCAAACTGATGGGCGATGATGATAGGCAACAGTCTTACACACATAAGTTAGGTAGTAATCTCCGTTTTAAACAAGCTGGGGTCATGCTACCTATTTAAAGGTTGGTATATTTGTTCACTACTTTACTCACATCAAAGTGATCTTCACAGCAGAACCAGTGATTCGTTGAAGTCAAACTGCCAGCATCCTCCCTTCTCGCTAAGCGAGCCCACAGCTTCCGTTTCTTGACATCTCTGGGTACATATAAGAATATTTTGTTTGGAGTGGTTGCACTGGAGCTCTTGCAGCCTGGCACAAAGCACCATCTCTTCTTTTTCCCAGTTTGAGTGGCAGACCGTGGTCCCAATCCCTCATCCTGATCTAGGGACAGCAACGGATCGCCAGCCTCAGCCTGCACCAGAGACTCCACTTCATCAGTGCCACTATTAGCACTAGACATGTTGGTTTTTTTAATTCAAAATGCTTCCCCAAGCCGTTTCACTATCTTCAGTCCGATATTACTGCACCAAACAAATGCAAAGGTCCCAGCTAACTGGAAAACATCGCCTCTCTAAACACGGCTAAATGCCTTCAAGGTACGCCATACCACACGGTATATAGAGAACTCCATACCATACCGGCCATGCCATACCGGCTCGGGGCTGCTGTGTTGTGACGTCACACAACCGTCGGCCGGCTAAATAGCCCCGGGGCATGAATTAAAACTCAAATATCTAAAGAACTAGAGAATATATACAAATTTTATGCTCATTTTTGAATTAACCGATGGCAATAACATAAAGTGGTGATGAGTCTGAATTTTCAGGTCCGAGCCCTATTGCCTTCGCTTCACATCATAAGGCTCGCTCGTATTTCAAACAGATACCCTACATCGAAAATCGTATTTGTTAATTGTTAGGAATCGTTAACGTTTGTTCGAAGCAGGTGTGAGTAGTAGGTTGAGGAGTGATGGTCCTCTTGGTCATATATACAAGAATCAACAAGAGCATAACATTTACTTGACCGTCTGCTGCAATTGATTCATAGCACGTGAAGCGTCAGCGAAATCCATAGTCCTTTACAGATGGCAGGGGTGTCGTTTGTACCGAGGTCGCTGATGGGCACGGGTCAATGCCGCAGTCGTGGGCGGAGCCTGATGTTATATGACGTAGAAAGCCTCTATCCAGGATGGAAAAACAGTTAACATTACGAGTCAATGACAAGTGCCACAAATATTTAAGTGACAACAAAATGTATTTGAAGAAAAAGTTTCGGCAGGTCTTGAAACAGCTACTTTCTAAATATGGTTGAAATTATTCCGCGCATTTACAAATAATCGCGAAAAAATAGGGTCTCAAGGGGTCTGGCGTTAACAGTAGTTAATCTAAAAATATTACAGGACGTGAAATGCACCGAAGAAAATGCCATACGAATGCACTGCGTATTGAGCACACTCTAGCACTGTTAGCACTTTAGCAGTGCTTGTACCACTGTAGCTTATGAGTCTGAACGCTGTATTATAAACGTTATCCGGTGTATCACCGACTGATTCGCTAAACGTGACGTGATTGGTTCCGGTGTTTCTGTCGTGATTCAATCTCCCGGCCGTGAGGTTGAATGGGATTTTAGGTCGTCGGTGGACAGTGGCTGGTCTGGGTCTGGAATTGAGGCCGGCCAGGCCCTGTGCCGAATGGAGGTCCGAGAGGTGACCGGACCGGCGGACCGACGGACCGACGGAGGCCGGCCCGCCGCCCGGCCTCCGATAGGGCGCTAACGGTCCCTCGTCGGACCCTCGCGGCTCGCCGGAGGTCGGCCGAGCGCCGCGAGATGTCGCCACCGGCGCCGCGACCCGCGGTCTGCTCGCGGGTTATAGAAGCGAGCTGATAATTGATATGATAACACTCGCAGTGCATACCTACTGTGAAAGGCCCCATGAGCTTTGCTGCTTATGGACCGCAAAGAAATGGTCCAGCCAAGCAGTTTGGAACAGTTAGAAAGGACTTGGCGTGCTTTTAGGTGTTCTGAGTCAAGTCACTGTACTTGGTAGCTGGTGCATCGGATTTTTGTTTACATGGTTCGCCTGAGGTCAGGGGCCGATTCGAGATGGCGCACTAGGAAGCTAGTAAGACTAGGCGGCCAAGTGACACTTGAATGTAGTGACACTAAGCGGTATTTTACACCAATCGGCTAGTGGCTCAGCGCGAACCGAAATCGCATAGTGACGCTTGAAATCAAGTGTCACTAGGGCCTTAGTGCGCCAACCGAATCGGTTCCAGGTCCTTTCTTGATTATATTACCTATATTATAGGCTTTCCCACTATTGTTGAAATGATGACTCAATAAGCTGTTGTTTTTGGCGTCGCAGATGATCTAATTACGTTGCATCGCACTTTCATACATACACTGTCTGTATCGTACAGAGCATGCTTTTTATTTTTGGCTTTGTTTGCGTCATATATGCCGCCTCAGGTCATTTGAGGACGAGGTCACCGGAGTTTTGCGTCAATCAATTCATAGTTAGTTAAATATTAGAGCCTGAAAAGACAAACATGAGCTTTGAGTAAGCTACCTACCATCCCTCGACAAAGTTCGTAACCTGACTCGATTTGACCTGAAATTGACCTGAGGTCAACATCCATGCTGAGCGCTTTCAACAAGTTTAGCATTTGATGTGACCGGACACGACAATCATCCGTGACGCAACAAATGTGTTGTTTTGGGAACTTGTTTGCCTGAGCTATGGCCCGAATTCCAAGGAAATGCTCCCGGCAGTCGGCGCGTCCTTTGTCTCAATGAACAATGACCATCCGAACCTCCATGTAGGTATGACCTTTGACCTGACCTCAAAGCTGTGCGGCGTGGCCTGAGACCTTGGGATCAGGAGAAATCCTCGTGTCTTGTAACGACTGATTCGCTCGTTTATCTGTGAATCTGGGGCTCCGTTAGAGTCGAAGCGGTGAACGAATCCTACCCTCTAGCCCGCAGTCGGCTGGCTGTAGGAAGTAAGAATCCACTATTTCGTTCTGGCGAGGGTAAACAAAATGCAGATATTGTACTGACCACCGCCTCGTACGCTTTAGACTCTTTCTCATTGAATGCTAAGCGAATGGTAACTCAGGGAGACCGAGGTGTGTTGCTAGGCGAGGCGTGCACAGTGCAAGGGCCGGGGATCGGTGGAGCGGCAGCAGGTCACGTGACGTCCGCTCGGCGGGCCGGCCGGCCGGGCTGCTCCCGGTCACTGACTGCATTATACAAAACACAACCGGTGCGATTGGAATTAGATACAGAACTAAACCAGTGGTTTTTCATAGATGGACAAAACTTAACCAACGATAAGTTATAGATGGACCACAGAACCAAAGACATTGTAGTTAAGGGAACAATCATTCATTCTCAGACAGCACCGAAGACTTAGCTACAGCCTTAAAAAATGTCTGAATATCATACATTCTGACATCCAAACGCCCAGTGTCACCTGTGGAGGAGGTGGATACGATCAGATACGATTGTGTTGTTTGTTATGCCGTTAATTGTTAGTCGGTTTTGACTGCGTGCGTCACTCAGGAGGCGGCAGATGGAGGTCCGAACCATTTGTGGCGGGCCGCAGGGGGCCACGGCGCCGGCCGCCTCCGGAGCCGGGTAGCGGCCGGCCTGTATAAGTAATTGGCAGCGGTCACGCGCCACGGGCCGCCCACTGGGCTGCCCGTCAGGAGGGCAGACGGACCGATCATCAGGGAGGGCTGGCGGGCCACACGACCGCATGTTAACGAACGGCCACCGCCGCAGCAGCGAGCGAGCCTGCTCCGGGTCGGTCCGCCCAACAGTACCCGCCTCAGTCCTCACCCTGAGCGAGACGTGAAGGAGCAGCCTGTGAGTCAGCGTGTCCTCCTCTGCAGGCGGTATCCATGGTAACTAATCACGTGACTGACGCGCTGTGCCTCCTCTGTTCGGCAGCCGGTGTCTGGGAGAGCTGAGCCCCGCGTGTGCCGTGGTCGGCGGCGTCCTTGCCCAGGAGGTCATCAAGGCCGTCAGCCAGAAAGACAAGCCGCTCAGCAACTTTTTCCTCTTCGACGGCTACAATAGCGAGGGGGTGGTGGAGACGATAGCGGCCTGAGGCGGCCGCGGCGGGCCGTCTTCTATCGTCAGACCGAGACGCCGGTGGGTCCGCGGCCTCCGCGGTACTCATCGCTATCATCCCTGTCCCTGTTCATTGCTCGCCCCCTGTGTGTCGACATCTCAGAATACACCGTATGCATTCCTGACGCCGTGTGTGAGAGCAGGGCCTCCTCTAACATACCCACTGGGTGGGCAAATGCCCACCCAGTCACCACAATTGCCCACCCAGTGGCGTCGATTTGCCCACCCAGAAGCAAATGTAAAAATAAAGGTCCGACCGGTGAGGCTTGTAAATTAGGAGCTCTAACTCGCTGTTGCATCTATAAGCCCAGGTAGCATCCCTCTCACGGCATTGGGTTTTAATCGGTATTTGTAAAAAAGTAATTGTCTCGTGAGTGAATAGGCATGTACAATGTACATGTAATCTGGAACAAATAGACGTCACGAGCATCGCTAACTATAACCCTAGCCGTCACAGGGGGCGGGGTGATGCATTGCAAACCCCTAAGTTTCTTTTTTTCGCAAATAAATCGCGTAGAAAGCGGCCGATAGCGACGAAACTTGCAGTACCTTCGAGTTAATCAATTGTACACCTACCCTGAAAATTTCATGACCCTGACCCAAATGACCTTTGACCTGTGAGTTACTTTTCGAGACCAGGTTTAGCCGGAATCGCAATTCGGCCTACTTCGGCTCGCATTAGCCGAGCGTTTGCAGTCTTTTCGTGGTTTTGCAGGCTTTCAAACATGTGATATGATGTTGGTCTCATGCATTAGGTTGGATGTCAAGGTCACCTGAAGGTCAGGTCAGGTTATTGACCTTTGATGACCTCGGTTCACTTTTTCGAGTTTTATATGTTTCTAGGCTAGTTTTTTTAGCTGAATTCGAATTAGGCAACCATTTGAGCATTTACGAAGTAGTTTTGGTGCCTTCATAATATGTTACGAAGCTGTCAGAGGCTTTTGACACGTACTACGAATACCCGGCAGGACCCCTACTGGTTGACCTGACCTGACCTGACCCGACCTGGCCTAAATGCATGAAGATATCATCTGTCATCACAAATAACATGATATTCGTGATCAGCAACCCGAAAAAAACCATAACAGCCACACTACGACGTTCTAACAGATCCCGATTTTCTCGACTTTTGGTTCATTGACGACCTGACCTCACCTCAGAGGTCACCATTTGAACTATGACCTTAAAACTGGGTACCGTTGGGTTCGTCTTGTGATGACCTACACGATGTTTTTTTTCCGCGAGGCTCTAGCTCAATTAGGGGCCAAACACCCCCCCCCCCCTTGCGCTTGGGTTCGACCCCCCCTTGCGCCGTCGAAGGACGCAAAGCGGCCTGTGCCGGCGAGGGATAAAAATAAAACACACGACAAACGTTATCTTTGCAAACTATCATCTTGTTTCCAATCCCCCTCCAGGCAGTGGGGGGCATTTTTTGCCCCCCCCCCCTTAGTTTTTTCGATATATCTCGAGAACCGCTGCGCCGATCGTCACCAAACTTTCAGTACCATCCCGGGAGTAGCTAGCGCACATGGTGACCAAAAATTTTTCCAAAGGCTATGATAGGTTCGCCGCTAATGACGTCAGAGTGACGCCATTTTTGCCATTTTCGACCCAAAAAAAGGTTTCGCGGGAAGAGCTGTCAGGCCTACAGCTTTAGAGATACAGAAAAATGTTCCGACATAAAAGGTGTGAAATTAAGAGGGCTACAAAACTGCTATTTCGGTTTTTGATTTTTTTTTTGGATTTTGACCCCCAAAAATATTTTTTTTTTTTAAATATAATAGCCGAAAAATCCAAAAGTTTTTTGAATTTCGGAAAAACCGGAATATACCTATCTGATAGTCCCTACCGCCTTCTATCTACATAGCAAATTTGAGATCAATACCTCTTTTTTTTAGCTAAGTTATAGCGAAAAAAACTGTTCAAAATTGATGGCGTCAAATTTGCAAACTCAATTTTTAGCAATTCTAGACCTCATAGCGCAAAACAAAGACCACCATTAGACTCCCCGTGACGAGCTGCATCGAATCGATACCCATTTTATGCAAAAATATCAACTTTGAAATTTGACCTTTTTTGACCTGACCTTGACCTGACCTCCACCAGAAAGTGACCTAAACCGTACCTGATGGTCTTATAGCCAATACCATTGAGTTGGAAATGAAAAACTGGCCATAAAACATGCATCGCACAACCTTAGTAAAGTTGGGTTCATGTGGTGACCCTTGGCGACCTGACCTGTGCCCTGACCTGGTATGACCAGTGACCTCTAATAGCAACATATGTACTAGACAATTGACGCCTTATCGCTGATTATCGACAAAATGCGTTTTACTCGGTGTTATAGCGCTTTCCCTAGAAGCCCCGTGAACGGTGAAACATTTTATCTTTGACCTGACCTGTGACGTCATCGGTGACCTCGAGGTCAATGAAATTTGGTTTCCCTCAACAAACTTGACAGGGCTATCGAACGCTGTTTGAATTCTCCGGATCCGTCCAGTAGTTTCGGAGATACGGGGGGGGCAAAAAATGCCCCCCCCCCCCCACCCACCGCGCGGAAGGTGGCCGGGAGGCCCACCGCCTGCCGGGATAATGGCACAGCTTATTTCGCCTCACCCCTCACCCCCCCCCCCCGGCACAGGTTTTGAAATTGGTTGAACCCCAAAACAAGTGGCTGGATCCGCCCTCAGGCAATGGAGCAGCGAAAAAAAATTGCCCACCCAGTGAAAAATCCTTAGAGGAGGCCCTGTGTGAGAGTGATGGGAGCGCTACACCGGCTCGGCTCGCAGGCGTCGAGCGTATCAGGGCAAACTGCGGGACTGCGGCGGGCCACCCCACATCCGCCGTCACGGCTGGTGCTAATCAGAGGGGCAACACAGCACTGCTGACCGGGTCATGAGCGGGTGGGGCCACCGCGACCAGCCAGCCGCGGCCGCGCTGGCCGGGCCGCGCGACACTGCCACAACCCGACTATATTGTCATGCACGGCAAATGGCACGGCGAGGTGTAAAACTGCTTGTGTAAGTATACCTATCTATAGAGGTTCCGTGTTGGTTGCATCACAATGTTGATTTTAGCTTGGGTGAATTGGTGCCAATTCCCGTAGCATATTCCCGTATGATGGCTCATGCTTCGTAGTCCATACTCGTCCATTAACTGGTTGATAAGACACGTTAAATGTTATCAAAGGATGAGTGGTAACTTGACTTACGACATACGATAATGCCATCGGTTCCAATCGCTTCAGCTTGAGGGATGTGTCTCAAAATGTAACGCTTGCTCTCGGAAGGTAATGACACCTATTCTCCTCTAAATAGTCTGTCCTTTCCGTGTGATGCGGGCCGCGCTGCGCCCCTCCCGTCCGGCCGGAGCGGTGTCCTGCCGAGCCAGGACCGGCCGATTGGCCCGATAGGACGGTCCCGTTAGCGGCCGACGGCGCCCTGTCCTCGGTCGACGCCACCCCATCCTTCCGTGTATAGGTGCGAGTGACCCCTGACTTAGTGACCTCCATAGCACCTCCACACAGCGCCTGTGCTCGGGTCACATCATGAGGTCTGATTCAGTATGACAAACTGCTTTGTACCTATCCAATTTGCACAGCTAATAGTTTGAACTGTTTTTAGGATGGTTTGGCTTTGAAGAGCCTATCGTTTTTACTGCATTGGCGCTAATGTCAATTGATAGATGGCTGTAGGGGAAGGTGGGGTAAGACGGCCCAGCGGAGCAAGACGGACCACCAGCCCTCCCGGCTGAACCGCTGCTGGTATCTACTGCTTTATGCACTCACTATGTTTGTTTTCCTTCGTAACAATGGCCACCTTGAGCTCATGCTGCTAGGATGCATAGCTTTTGAGTTATTGAGAAAAATGTTGTTTTTCGTCAAACCGATCTAATATAAGAGGTCTACGGGTGATTCAATTACGGCGCCTTTCTTGCATGATTAGTTTCTATTTTGCACTTAACTGTGAAGAACAAAGTTATAAACTTAGTTATAGTCACATTTTAGGAAAGGCAAGGTTTTGCAATGTTGGGCTATTTGACATATACGTCATGATAATGACAGAATTTAGATTTGGGGCAAGACGGACCACTGTGGTCCATCTTACCCTGCGGTGGTCCATTGTACCCTGCATATGGAAAGTTTTTTTCCAAAACATTGACACAAGTTTAAGTAAGCTAATTTTTCAGGAAGGAGTCTTTGTTGCATGTGAGCCATGCATGCAAGTGCTCAGTTAGCATGCATTCATGCCAAACGGCAATCAACACACATGTTCCCAGCTTTTAGATGCACTTCCATCACACAAGAGTAAAGAATAAAGGCTCATTTTGTTATTTTACCATTCTGGTTACTTTTTCTTACAAGAGTACAGAGCAGAAGTGTAACACACATGAACGGATAGCAGGCACTGCTGGGTGGTCCGTCTTACCCCACGTTTTTTCTTGTCTGAGTTTTTGACATGTCCCTCTTTAAGAGCATCCACCACCTAGATGTCTTTAATTTGAAATTTAGTCTTTACACATATCAACAGAGGAAGGATTGAGCATTCCGAAGACTATAAATAATATGAATTACGAGAGCAGTGTAGCAAGATATGCGTCCTCAAACCTTAGCTGGTCCGTCTTACCCCACCTTCCCCTATAAAATGCGGTAGCCGAAAAGAAAACACGTCAAGCTCTCGTGTGAGACTCACATCCTATCCGGGTGGGAAATGGATGTTAGGTATAACATTCTCTCGTATTGGTGTTTTGCTAGCCGCTAACATACTGGAGAGTCTGTTGGACCCCCCGAGACGATAAAACCCAATTTCAATGTCCTGGGTCATTAATTATGATTGAACTTACGGGCATGGTCGATGACCCAGCAGTCGGAAAAATCGTGACCTGCTAGAACTTCTTAAAGCGATGCTGTTATTGTGTTTTGGGGGCCCTGATTTCGGATTTCATATTATTTTTTGATAAAGATACCTAATGCATTCCTGGATTTGGGGTGGGTCGGCTCAGGTCAGGTCAGGTCAACTGCAGTAGGCGTCCCGCCAGCTATTCATAGCAGGTTAGATGTAAAACAGTGACCACCAATAGCAGCTTTGTAACATGCGGCGTGGGCACCCAAACTGCTTGTAGTGTG